GATTCAAAACGTTCTTTATTGTCCCTTTGTTTTACAGACAGTTGAATCTTTAACGCACTTCAAATGAAAGCGTTTGTCAAATTTCGCGCAACGAACCCATTCCTCCTGATTTGAATCAAACAAAATTACTGTTTCATTATAGAGCAAGTGACAGTTTAATTTATAGGCATCGCATGGAGTTATGTTGTAAATGTCACAATACCATTTTTCATGGTTATCTTCTCAAGAATCTGACTCTGAAGATACATCTCGTTTCATCTGAAAAATAATTAGGACAAGTGTGAATGGTATTAAAATTTTGCTATGTTAGATTGATTGTTGGTTGCTCAACGTCCAGTGGAAAATATTTCATGCATGTCCAGGACGATGTTGTCATGTTAAAAGAATTCAGCGACACAACTTCATAAATCATAATTAAAACCAATAATTAAATACTTAAAACGTTGTTGATAAGGTTTTTTTTATAATTCAAACATGTCAAAGTGAACCATTTTAAAGGCACCATTGAAGCATGCATATTGTATTTATCGTTTCAGTATTTTACTTGTGTTTATATATTAAATAAGTAAGGAAATATGCTTTTGTTTGCATACATTGGTATGCCGTCTGATTGACAACTGCAACAATTTCTAACCTCTATTTTTACACGAATTAACGATTTAATTTTTACTGTATACTAGTTGCTTTTCAGTGCATAGTTCCTGATTGTACTTTTTCTCAAGTATCCTTGAATATCGAACAAAATGATAAGATTAATTACAATGTTAAGGATTTTTATCAAATTAATGTTTGTTTCGTGATCACAATAGCTTGTGTAATTAAGATATAAGACTTATTTTGTACAAACCAGGTTTCATTGATTCTCATAAGAATTTAATTAAATTGTGTAAGGTCTCATTTTCGCTATTTGTCAATGCAAAGCCAGATACATTAGCTCTTTCTGCATTTTTTTTAAAAAATATCATCAAAACAAACACCGACAAGTTTATCCAATCAGTGTATTAATAAGATGCCGTTTTACAAATTTCAGATTTACATCGGTAATATTTGTAGACTTGTCAGTGAGAGAATAAGCAAATGTGTTATATTTACCTGTGAAACAACTATCCAATAAAAAGGACAGGAAACAACCTTCAACATGAGCAAAACCCATACCGTATTCATGTAAAAGACCCTAGTATAACAAACTGTGAAACAATTCAAAAGAATTATGCTAATTATATTAAATGAAAAACAATTAAAGCAGAGACCAAACAGAGACAACAACTTGGGTAGATGCACTATAAACAACTGTCATAAAAATGGGAGGTTTAGCTAGCTAAAATCCAGGATTAACCCACCATTATCTTTGGAAAATGCCTGTACTAAATCAGTTGTTCACTTGTTCCGTTGATTGATAGCTTTTGGTTCTGTCAGTTTTTATGGACATCCCCATTTTGAATTTTGATTGGAGTTCGGCATTTTTGTTATACTTTTTTTCAGACTTTAAATATGAACATTGTGAATTAGGTTGGATTTAATATGTTTGAGAGCGCTCAACCCTCCCCTAATATTGGACAGTGGTATAAAAGAACAACATTGAAACAAATTTTAAAAATCATTTGAAAAGCACTTGACTCTTCAGATTGGTACTGAGCACACACAAATCAAACAGAACAAAACAAAAAAACATATCAGGTAGGTGGTAATGGAAGCCTTTTGTTCAATTTTTCTGCCCATCTCGTATTTAACAAAAAAGCCCTTTGTGATGCGGCAACTTCAGTTAAAAATATTTCTTTTCACAACAAAAACTCTCTGGAAGTTCAGTCCGTTGCAAATTAATAACTCCATAGTTTGTATGCCTTTATTCTATTGTTCTCTGCTCTTCAAATCAGCACAAATGTTTAGGCTCATTCAATTGATGAAAATAGCATGTCTAATATCCCTGCAGAGATTTTCTGTTTGCAAAATAAAATTGAGTACCTCGTTTAGGCGCATTAGGGATATTGACCCACATGAGTTGACACTCTTTATTTGGAGAGATCTTGTTGAATCGTTGGTTTTTCAGTGGTATTTTGTGGACTGTTGTTAATCTTTCCTTCGTTTTCTTTTGGCAATTGGTGCATGTCTATCTTCAAAATTTGTCTATTTATTGCCTCCATAGTAACTTCTTTCTTTTTGAAAGTTTTGGTTTATTATTTGATGTTGTTTCTTTATATGGTCGTATATGTCTGTGACTATATGCACGTTCTGTTCAATCTTAAGTTCAGCCGATCCACTCAACACTTCTAAGTAGTCTACAGTTACAATTATTTGAAGCCATATGGACTATATAGTGAAGATAACTGAAAGCGGGATTGGATGACTAAAAACTAGTTTAACCCCGCAATATGTTCATTTGCGTTTACCATGTCAGGAGCTTGATGTTGTGCAACATACTGTGATCGAAAATTTAACATTTCATTACCAAATTTAGTCTTACAACAGTTATGGAATAGATGTACTTAATTTAAGTACAAGAGGGAAATACTCGATTTGAAACCTTTCATCTCACTGTATTAAAACTTTGTATGAAAAATGTCAACAATTCTTTAAAAATTAAGTTCATAAAATAATGCGATAGCAGGAATCAAATGGAACGAAAGAAAATAGCCCGGTACATTATTGCTAAAAATGCACTTTTCAAACAAAACCAGGATTTCCCCGACTTTTTACTTTAGATTGGGATACCATTCATGCTTCTCAACCATTCTTCTGATCCGATTAGTCTCATTTTTAATGCAACCTTTAAGAAATACCACTTAAAACATTCTTTAATGTGTATTCTTATAACAATAAATGCATCTTTTAACACCTACACAAAACTTACTCATAGATTATGTTTTTATTTGTTGTTGTTGCATATGAATCAATCCTTTCAGTGCATTTGTTTGTAACGTTTAACAAGACAACCTAATTTTTACTTTTATTTCAAAGAAAAATAACGTAAAAGAAGTGAATGTTTATTTATCTATGAAGATTCCATTGATCTTATACTTTATCGAAGTTAACCATAATGGAAACTGTCAATTAAGGAAGTTCTATTTGAATATCTAAAGATCTTCTATCTTGCTTTTTAAAAGAGTTTCTCTGGGTTTCCACGCAATTTCAGAACTGTTATCATCACTTGTAACACAAACAAGAGTTGTACGAAATTTACATAATTCCTATGAAGTTGTGAAGCTACATTTACATTTCTTTAACTGAGATCATTATGAAAATAAAAATTATGTAAATTGTTAGGATCATTTGAAGACTTAAAGAAGACAAAGAAATCTGTTAGAAGCAAAAATATATTTTACCGGAAGTGTGGAATTTACTTGTCCTTTTTTAAATTTGAAACATTTCTTTTCCGTTTGAATGTTTCTCTATTATAACCATTATTAGCTTTCTAAATAAAGACAACAGTAGTATACCGCTGTTCAATAGTCATAAATCGATTAAGAGAAAACAAATTCGGGTCACTCACAAACCAAAACCGAAGGAAACACATCATCTATAAGAGGAAAATTTGTCTGCACTTTTCTGGTATAGATGAGGAACTTCCAATGACTAAATGTGGATTAGATTGAGTTTAAATTAGGGCTGTCTATTGCTACATTAACTTAATATAAATGTGTAATCATGGTTAATGTATCGTTTACAACAGATAACTGCGATTATAAACTGTATAAACTATAAAATTTGCTGTGATGAAGTTCTTATGGTGATTGCAATTTTGTTTTCTTAATGTTGAATGCTGTCGGTTATTTTCGACTATTGTATAAAATATACTATAAGAATAGTTTGATATACAAACTCTGTTCCTAATTGGACATTAACACAATTTGACTTAGTTGAACAATGCGTATGTCCAGGATAGTTTGAGAAGATAAAGTGATAAAGGGTCACATTGTATTACTTGAATTTCTCAATTACATTTCTTTATTCGGTAATATCAGGTTTTTGTATTAAGCAAACTACAAGTATTTTTTCAGCAGCCAGCAATAAATAACTCTGGTCATATCCCTAGATATTCTTTCGAGTATTTTCCCCCAAAATCAATAAGGTGGCAAAACAATAAAAAAAATAGTTATTGTCGAAATAATAACACTTTCAGTTGTAGGGATACGTGATTGTAAACAAAACTCATAAAAGATACCAGGCTTATATTTTGTTTTGGTTAAAACAGTTTTAACTATATTAATGATTTTAATAATAATCAAAGTACATACGATTCACCCATTTGCCAATATTGAATCTATGAATGAAACAGATACAGGGGAATTAGCCAAACTATTCTTATACAAACGAAAAAGCAAATATGTAATCAAATAAAAATGTCTAATTGAAAAACAATTCCGATAAGAAAACCGAAAACACCTATTTATTATTACAAATATATACTCACATAACAAAAAGGTAAAATCCTAGCTGATTTAGAAATAACCTGCCTTTCCGACGTTTCTATAATACATCACCTCAAAAAGAATATTTTAAGCTTCTAAAATTGTATTCCTTATTGTGTTATACATGCAAAAACTTGCTAATGAGTTTAATAGTATATATTGCACTAGGTGAGCGATCTAGGCTCTTAGGAGCCTGTATCTGTTTGTTAAATTGCAAATAGATTCAGTCTGTATTGTCTCAACGCATTTATTTCTATTTTTTTTCAATTCTTTTAATAAGTTCTGCGGCAATGCTGGATGAATTTTAGCGTCATCAGCCGTAATTCAAAAAGCGGATCATTATTCGATTATTTTCTGAATAGTTTCGATAAAAAACATGTTTGCTTTGTCAAGGATCTTACTGTATTCGAAACAGAATCTGTAATTAATCGTATAAACAAAACACTAAGAAAAGTAATATACGAATTATCATTGCGTTGTTTGCTTTGTTTTCGTGTGATTTTAAGTCATGTATCGTGTTATAGTCAGTCATATTTTATTAAATTTGTCCTACCATTTAATTTTATGTTCAATATAGTCTATGTACCATTTCAGATTACTTGTAAATGATGCAAGGTCTACAAAATACATGTGGTGCAGTTTAAAATGAACAACAGTAGTACGGATGGTATCAAATCAGAATATTTCACCGAAAATGGAAAACCTGCATTTTATGAATTTGTACATGGGCTTTATATTTACGTTATACCTATGATTGTGGTGATTGGAATGATCTGTAATGTTTTGTCTTTCAAAGTGTTTGTGTTTACCAGCTTTAGTCGCCATCCATCAAGCATTTTCCTGGCATTACTGAGCGTTTCAGATACTTTCTTCCTCCTTGCATTAATATTTACATGGATGGGAACATTGAAAAAAGCAAGAATTGACACTGGTGGATTATGTTTAGTAACAATATACATAACGTATGTCACGAGTTTCCTCTCTGTTTGGTGTGTTGTTCTGATCATGCTTGACCGATTTATTATAATTTGTTTTCCGTTACGACGACCACGAGTCTGCTCAAACAAAATGGCGAAATGCACTGGCATTGCCATTACAGTATTTTCCATCCTGATTTATAGCCATTGTTTCTTGACCATCGAGGTTGTACCTGTGCTTGGCTGTAGAGTTAAACAGGAATATTTCAGGTTCTTAGCAATGGTTACTTATATAGATACTGCTATCACGTTCATTATTCCTTTTATAGCAATTTTTGTTTTAAATATATATGTAATTGTGATAATACGGAAATTTAACTTCAAACACGCAAAACCACGGGCCATCAAATATTATTCTCCGACATACAATGTCTTATCTGTTGCACAAATGAGATTGACGATAATGTTGACTATTGTATCAATTGTATTTTTGGTTCTAAACTTACCGAGCCATGCTATCAGATTCTATATAATAGTTAACGATTTAATCGCAAACAACGATATGGCATTATTTTTAGCCCAACAGTTCTGTCAGATTTTGTATTATGTAAACTTTGCCATTAACTTTACAATTTACTTTGTGTCCAGTAATACATTCCGTAGATGTATAAAAGAAAGAGTCAGGTGTATGCGATACCAATAAATACGAAAAACTATAGTTTATAAATACTAACAATGAAAATTTCTTAACATTATCTGTATAACAAGTGGAAATTTTTAATTTCACATATCATAAGATGTACAAGAGTACAAAAAAATGGAACGAAATGTTCAAAAAGGCAATTCTTAGATTTCCTTTTCCGGAAAGCAACATTTGTATAGCTAACGAACGAGAAATGTGCAAATAAAGGCATTTTCATGATTGTTGTTAATATATTTCATTCTAAGATTTTTAATTCATTCATGGATGTAAACACCTAAATATATAGTTCAATAAATTGAAGAAAAGTCTCTGGTGTACAAGTTTCTTGACCAACCATCATTTGTGTCGTCTAGTCTTAACAGTAAGATGAAGTTTTCTGTCTCTTTGTAAATCAGAATAAAATACTGAATAGGATAAACGAAAAAGAAAGCTTTTCTTTTACTTCAGATGTAAATGTTTTTACGTGAATAATTTCAGCTTACTATTCGAAAGATATGTCCATTTCTATTGCGGATCCTTAACTTTATTGCAAAATCGAATTGTAATAGTGGCATTATTATCCATAAATTAACATTTACACTTGATAAACTTTGTTAACGAACTGGTTTTGAAAATAAACTCACCATATATACCAGGATTACAATTTATGCGCCAGACGCGCGTTTCGTCTATCACTCATCAGTGACGCTCGAATCAAAAAAGTAAAATAGGCCAAATACATGAGGACTCAAATGAATTTTGACAGTCGGTCATTTTAGTTCACACTAGACAACGTACACATATTTTTCAGGTAATAAGAAATAGAAGCAAATATTTTGAATCTTACAGAAATGGAGTAACAGTTTGAATGTAAATATATGAAACAGTAACTTGAGCAAAGCATTTGACGGGTTTAAAGTTATTATTCTTTTATGCTTTGATGAATAAAATCAACAGTAAACCTATATAAAATAGGAGGGATAGTATTTGTGTGAACATAAATGAGATACGTGTTATTTCATTCGGACAAAACAGGCTCTAAGAGAACTGTACCTTATTTCAAAAATTGTATAATGTAAGAAATGATTTTAACTAATCTTGAAGACAAAATACTCGGTTATTTTTTCAAGACTTTTAGTTATAAAAAGACATCTAAAACAATTTTGTTCTGGATATCGAGTTAGTGGTACATGTTGGAGGAATCAAGTATACTTCTGTAGTTCCGTAGCTATAAAATCATTGCGATGATAAATGGTAGACTCTCTTCTTTGAAAGTTTTTTCAAGTTACATGTTCATTTTATTTATTCTCCTGAATACTTCAATTTTATCATCTAGTGGTAGTCTTACACAGGTATTATTTGGTAGTTAAAAAAATCTCATTGCATTTTGAATTTCAGATATTATTATCGGTTCAAGGAAGAAGTCAGGTTAGTGTCAACCGACTAATTTTCGCGAACGATTTATTTTCGCGACTTTCGCAAGTAGAAAAATAACGAGAATATAAATCGTCGCGAATATGAAAAACTTGGATCTACCCTGATTAAAATACATCTAGTAAATTTTAAAATCGCGAAATTAAATCGCCGCGAAGTGGTCTAGAAAGGGATAAACGCGAAATAAAGTATCCGCGAAAATAAGTTGGTTTACAGAATTATGTATCTGTTTGAACCTTTGACGAAATTATCATTAATCCTGAAGGCCATTGGAATAACAAAAGAGGGACGAAAGATACCAGAGGGACAGTCAAACTCATAGATCGAAAACAAACTGACAACGCCATGGCCAAAAATAAAAAGACAAACAGACAAATAACAGTACAGATGACACAACATAGAAAACTAAAGACTAAGCAACACGAACCCCACCAAAAACTGGGGGTGATCTCAGGTGCTCCGGAAGGGTAAGCAGATCCTGCTCCACATGTGGCACCCGTCGTGTTACTTATGTTATTACAAATCCGGTAAATAGTCTAATTCGGTAGGTCACATTCGTGAAAAGGGAAGGGTATTGTAGTTACGACATAAGGAACATATCCGATATCATCTGTGAAACGGTTATTCCATAACGGACAACCAACTCGTGATGGCGTCCGTAAAATTTACGAAGGGATGATTTCAACTTCACCATTTTAAACTCTTGGTTTAATAGCTTCCTTGTGAGCAGCAATCCTCTATCAAGGAAATCATGATAACCCAAACTAGTACGAGTACTACAAAACATATACAATAACTTGACATTCCTTCATTTACAGTAATTGTATTTTTGTCTGAATATATTCCAGATATATAATTCTCAGTATCGTGTACATATGCAATGCATATAATGTTTGATCAAACTTGTTAAAAATTTATGTGTTTAGTGTTCTTTTCTAAGTACGCTCATTGGAAAAAAGTGAGTTCCCAAAATGACCGATGCATAGGTTGGGAATATTTTACCGAGTTTTTACCGATGCTTTTCTAAGAGTTATTCCTCTTTATATACTAAAAGTCGTTACTGACAGTGCCCGCTAGTGCCAAATATTTGGTAGATTACGTCATTTGTGTTGCACTGACGTAAATAAACAAATATTTCGTCTGCTTTAAAGATGGCACCCCACGGGAAAGAGATGACACCAGAGGAGAAAAAAATTGATTATAAGATTTTCAGAACAAAGGTATTCTGGGCATAAGATAGAGAAATGCTAGGAAGGAATAGAACCATAAACAAACTTTTTAAAGAGGTTTAGCGATTTTGGATAAAGGGAAAACAATGGGAGAAGTGTCCGGAAAAAAAATTAATCCCAGGGATGATCGGAAGCTTCAACGACTGTTGCGTTCGAACCGCCGACAAACTCTAGATGAAATCACTGATGCATTTAATGGTGAGACATTGAATCCTGTTTGTTCTGGGACAATCAGGCGGCAGCTACAGTTTAATGGTTACAGGAGGCACACCGTTTCGAAGAAAACAACGATTTCCCCTGGGGTATATAAATGTAGTCATCAGGTCTTCTCCTATAGAGCAGTAAAATCAAAGTGTCTGATTGTAAGAAAGATATAACGTGTTGTTTTCTTTTTTACATCACTGAGTCGATACCTCTGCTGGTGGACTATCAGTCCCCGAGGGTATCATAAGCTCAGTAGTCAGTACTTCGGTACTGACATGATTTATAACAAATCTTTCTAAATTAAAATTGTCCGTTTATAAATTTTGAAATTATGAAGACACTAAGGTTTCAACTCCCTCAGGCAAACATGACCTTAAATGGATTTTGCTACTTGTTTTATGTCCTGTTGGTTATATAGCTCTTCAATTGTTTCAGTTCTCATACATCCTTTGCTTTCAAATATTCGGCTTTGAGCGTCCCTGATGAAGTTAAATTCAGAAAGACGCTTCGGACGCATGAAATTTAGAACGTGTTGTTTTCATTTTTTAAGAGAAGTATCGTTTATAACGTGTGATTATGCATCAATAGGACATCAAATATTTCAAAGTCCCATTACGAGCGCAAAAATTGTCAATACTTATTGTACATTTTTCATACTGTCAAAATGTTCTACCCAGTATTAACGCTTGAGGGCACGGTCTCAGAGGAGCTGTCAAAACGTGCTATGCTACAATGGATCAAATACGTTAAATGTTTAATTTCTCATGCATATATTGTCAAATTAAAATGGCGTAATAGAATGCTCATCAACACAATGACAAACAATGCTACCAGGAAGTAAAGTTTTACAACATATATTCTAAGAGGCATAGCATTCACAAGGTGTTATTATGCTACCAAAGTCTGTAAATATCCCATTGATTACTCATATAAAATGTTACACCATTTATATTTACTAATTTCCGTTGCCACTTGTATGTTGAATAGCATTCATTAGGAACATTCGGGACCAAAAGTTCCGAAAACTAAAAATATAAATAGATGAGTGAATAAAAACAAAACAGGAATTATCAATTAAAAAGTTTTTTTTTTAAATAATATGTCATTTATTTACCACTGAAAGTTCCGTATAACTTTAAAAGAAGAGAAAAGAAATGAAACGCTTTTTAACATTTGAATAAAATTTCCTATCAGATTTGTGACTTTTTTTCCTACATTTATCAATTGTGTGATTTTTTTTCCTACCAAATTTGTGTATTTTTCCTGTGACTTTTTTTTCCGTTTACCGTTTCGAGAGTGTCCGAAGTTACGATATGTCATAACTTTTATCATCAATTTGAGACACATCGCTACATGACTTATGGTGGTCTTATGATTACGACAGCACATGAAAAATTCAATTCCAGTAATTGGAGTAAGCACGATTATCCTAGCTACTGGTAAGCTGCATTTAGTGGAGCCCATCGCCAGTCCGGCGTGATTCTCTATTATCTTTGCTAGATTCTTCTTAGTGCTGTTTACGTAGCAGGTTCACTTTTTCGAATCTCTGCCACTGTTCTAAGGTAAGTAGCGTCATTTACTTCAATCCATCTTTGCACATGCAGCCTCCCATAATTTTTTTTTTTGGCACTTTCTTTCTTTTTTTATGTTGCTCAATCTGATAAATAGTTAAGATTTATTCTTCTCTACTTCGTCAATCAAAATTTGAATCTTCTGCGACGTAAAATTTGAACTTCTTTTCTTCCTCATGATTATGTATAATAAACATATATATTGGTTCTTATTTGCATTGTAGGTTGTTAACGTATTTTCACGGGCATTTCGTTAAGCGGGTACTCAATGTACCAAATCTTAAAAGTATTCACAATTAAATAACACTTCATGTGTAATAATACAAGAACGCGAAGATCTAGAATTTTATAATATATATATAATACACAAACTAAATTTTAACAAATTATCAACTCAGATTGTAAATCCTTTTCATATATAATGTCATTTTCATTATAATGAAAACAAGTGAAACTGCGAGCTACTGCTAACTGATGATACCCCCGCCCAAAAAACTTGACGGTAAACAGGAAGTTGTTGAGTGATGAATCTGAAAACGCATCACACGGTATAGCTGACTCTAAACCCTGAAACCAAATTTCAGAAATCCTTGTAATGTAGTTCCCGAGAAAGATGCGACGAAAACTATTCATGGGACGGACGGACGGATGGACAGACAGAGGTAAAACAGTATACCCCCACCCCCCTTTTTATAGCGGGGGTATAAAAAAATATCCGTAAATGATAAGAATACTTTTATGATACAATTTTTTTACGAAGAAATGTTTAAATGTAAAAAAAATTACGTATGTATTAATTGTATGGTTCAATGATAATTGTCTCATGAATCGTTTTCAACTGGGATCCTTTGAGCTTTTGATTTTGCCATTTGATAATGGACTTTCCGTTTT